TTTTTTGCATCTGTCTTTACACAAAGGGAAAAAACAGACCAACCTACCAAAAATAGTGCCATAAAAAAACAGTATAGAAACACAAGTTAAGATAGGCAAGAAAATGATAAGTGAGCACCTGTCTAGCCTAGACGAGTTCAAATCACCAGGACCAGATGGATTACACCCCAGGGTTCTCAAGCAACTGGCAGATGTGATCTCAGAACCACTGAACTATATTTTTCAAAGATCTTGGAGCACAGGGGAACTACCAGAAGACTGGAAAAGAGCTGATGTAGTTCCCATCTTCAAAAAAGGAAAAAAATGGATCCAGGAAATTATAGACCTATCAGCCTGACCTCAATACCTGGGAAGATCCTGGAAAAGATAATCAAACAATGAATCAGAGAACACCTAGAGGCAAACAAAGTCATTACTAAAAGTCAACATGAGTTTTCAAAAACAGATCATGCCAGACAAACCTTACTGCATTCTTTGACCAAATGACAAAATTAGTGGATCAGAGAAATGTTGTGGATATAATTTACTTGGACTTCAGTAAGGCATTTGATAAAGTAGATCACAACCTGCTACTCAATAAGATAGAAAAAAGTGAATTAGATAGCATCACCACCAGATGGATTGGTAGCTGGCTGACCGGCCATACTCAGCGTCTGGTCCTCAATGGAACTGCATCTACATGGAGGGAAGTGTGTAGTGGGGTGCCCCAGGGCTCTGTTCTAGACCCAGTGCTCTTCAACATCTTCATCAACGATTTGGACGAGGGGAGAGATGGGGAACTCATCAAATTTGCGGATGACACCAAGCTGGCAGGAATAGCCAACACTCTAGAAGAGAGGCTTAGGATACAGGAGGATCTGGACAGACTTGAACACTGGGCGCTATCGAACAAAATGAAATTCAATGGTGAAAAAAGTAAGGTTCTACATTTAGGAAAGAAAAACCAATTGTACAGGTATAGTATAGGGGGTACCTTGCTCAATAGTAGTAACTGTGAAAGGGATCTCCGAGTCCTAGTGGACAATCACTTAAATATGAGCCAGCAGTGTGCTGCAGCTGCCAAAAAAGCCAACTCAGTGCTGGGCTGCATTAGCAGAGGGATAGAATCAAGATCACATGAAGTATTAATACCACTTTACAATGCCTTGGTAAAGCCACACTTGGAATATTGCATCCAGTTTTGGTCACCACGATGTAAAAAAGATGCTGAGACTCTAGAAAGAGTACAGAGAAGAGCAACAAAGATGATTAGGGGACTGGAGGCTAAAACATATGAGGAACGGTTGCTGGAATTGGGTATGTCTAGTTTAACGAAAAGAAGGACGGGGGGGGGGAGAGACATGATAGCAGTGTTCCAATATCTCAGGGGCTGCCACAAAGAAGAGGGAGTCAAGCTATTCTCCAAGGCGCCTGAAGGCAGGACAGGAAGCAACAGATGGAAACTAATCAAGGAGAGAAGCAACCTAGAACTAAGGAGAAACTTCCTGACAGTGAGAACAATTAACCAATGGAACAACCTGCCTCCAGAAGCGGTGAATGCTCTAACACTGGAAGTTTTTAAGAAGAGACTGGACAGCTATTGTCTGAAATGGTGCAGGGTTTCCTGCCTGAGCAGGGGGTTGGACTCGATGACCTTCAAGGTCCCTTCCAACTTTATTATTATTAACATTCAGCATGAAGGCCAGATTCCCACATGAATCTGAATGTGAACCAATCATGCCTAGAACCTCCCTTGTATCCCATATTGTTGCTTTCCTCTTGTTTCTAGCCCAGGAATGAGATGGCCTTAAAATACTGCCAAACCCAAAGAAAATAGTGTTGTAGGTTGCATTCTTGGTGCTGAGCTTGTTCCTTTAGTCTTGGTTCTCTTCCTGCGGACATTTTGTGACCAGGCTAGGTAACATTGTCAGTGCATAATGGAGTGCCTTTGCTGGGTTTATATGTATGTATAAGTTCTGGCTAGGGAATTCTGGGAGTTGAAGTCCACAGATCTTAAAGCCACCAAGGTTGAGAAGCACTGCTCTATAGGAAGACCAAGCATAATTTCTTGGAAGGCCTATTTGGCAAAGATTGCGTCTCAGTAAATGCTGGAAAAATGAAACACCCACCTCACTGCATAGTATGAAGAAGGCTCTCTTGGATAAAATGTATTTATTTCTTCATACCAGTGTAAATAAACTGTGGAATTCATTTGCTCAGGATTTCATGATGGGTACCATCTTGGGTAACCTAAGAAGCAATTGAAGAAATTCATGAAAGTTTAATGCTCTAAATGGCTACTAGATATGATGGCTGTATGTCACCACCTCCAGAGAGGCAATATCATTCTCTGTTCTTATTACTGAGAGCCGGTTGCTTGGGAACATGAGCAAAAGTCTCAACTGCATTTGTGGGTTGATAATGGTCTTCCTGAAAGCATCCTGTTGCGCTCAGTAGGTACAAAATGTAGCACTAGGTAGACTTAATAGACGAAAAAGACTAAGATCTTAGATTTTGGGGTGGAAGGCCTGCATGTTTCTACTTACATAGCTCAATCAAAATTCTGTTTTAGGACAATTATACTGGAATCAGAATCATAAGATTGAAAGGGACCTTGGAGATCTTCTAGTCCAACCCCAACACATGGCAGGCTGTAAGTAATCCTATCGCAGAATTCAAGAAGAGTAAGCATCATCAGGAAGAGCAACTAAGATAATCAAAGGCCTGGAGGCTAAAACATACAAAGAACAGCTGCAGGACTTGGTTTGGATAGTCTAAAGAAAAGAAGAATTAGGGGAGACGTAATAGCAGTATTCCAGTATCTGAGGGGCTACCACAAGGCAGAAGGGTTAGGCTGTTCACCAGAGCACCAGAGGGAAGGAGGAGAAACAATGGTTGGAAACTGATCAAAGAGAGAAGAAACCTGGAATTAAGTAGAAACTTCTTGATAGTGAGGACAATCAACCAGTGGAACAGCTTACCCCCCCCCCCAAAATCGTGGGCGCTCCATCACTGGAGATTTTTAACAAAAGACTAGACAATCACCTGTCCAAGATGGTATAGGTTCTCCTGCTTGAGCAGGGGGCTGGAATAGAAGACCTCCAGGGTCCCTTCCAGCACTATTCCATTCTATCTAGATAAAAATCCTTTTGGTGTTCTTATAATATTAAAAAAAAGTATTCAACAAACGGCAAGAATGCATATATTAAATAAAATTTAACAAGAATCTGGTGTGGAAAATCAAGGGGGAAGCCAGCAGGAAAAGTTGCAAATCATGTCCACATGATGTCTTGCTTAATGACTATAGCAAAACAATCTGGCAAAATTAGCTCACCTAATCACCAGGGTGCTTAACAATGAATTGCATCACAATTGAAGTTGTGATTGTATGTTGGAAGACTACCTGTATTGGATTGAAAATAATGTGGATTGTTCACATTCTAACAGACAAGATAGAAAGAAAACAAGACAGGAAACCATGCTGATAATTCCACTCCAGGTCACATGACTTCAAAAGAGATGGGAGGGGACTTAGAATGGAACATTCTAAGCCAGTGGTGGCAAACCTATGGCATGCATGCCAGAGGTGGCACCCGAAGCCCTCTCTGTGGGCACATGCACCGTTGCCCCAGCCCTGCCTTCTCCCACAGCCCCCTCCTCACCAGCAGCTCCCCAGGAGGAGAGTCGCCTTTGGGCAAGGCCCACGCGAAGCAGCGCAGCCAAAGACATGGTAGCTGGGCAGCGGAGATGGGCATGGGCTGAGGGCGTGGCCATGGCGCTGCTGGGCTGCCTGGGTGATCTATGGCGGGCGGTGGAGGTGGTGGGTGACCCAGCGGGCAGGGTGGAGCGGGGGACAGGGGCGGTTTTTGGGCACTCGGTCTCTAAAAGGTTCGCCATCACTGTTCTAAGCCATTGCCCCATTGTTTCTCCATAGGGATGCAAGGAAAGAGTTTTTCTCTGCAGTCCCTGAATGGATCCAGCTTTTTCAAACTCGGGACTCATGCCAATACAAAACCCATGATAACACTTAGACTTATATACCACTTCAAAGTGCTTTACAGCCCCAATAAGCCCAAATCAGCATATTGCCCCCAACAATCAGGGTCCTTGTTTTACCGACCTTGGAAGTATGGAAGGCCGAGTCAACCTTGAGCTGGTCAGGATCAAACTCCTGGCTACAGGCAGAGTTTGCCTGCAATACTGCATTGTAACCACTGCACCAACACGGCTCTTTCAAAAATGGAAAGGAGCTCTCTGCGTGGACAGCCCCTCACCGACCAGCCAACCCCAAACTAGGAGAATCTACTGCTGGACTTGCCACTTCTCCTGGGGGCTGGAAATCTTATCTTTTTTTGGGGGGGGGGGTTATCTACATGGCTAGGACTTTACAAAAACCCCACACACAATTTCCATTGAAGGGACTCAATGACAAGTCAGCCCTTGTGTCCAGTGGGGGAGGGGGCCGCCTTGCAGGCCCTTTGGTTTATGCATCAGTGGGAATATCAGGCTTCTGGTGATAACTGTGTCTCATCTTCCAGAAGACTAATATTACTGTGGGAGGAGGAGGAGGAGGAGGAGGAGGAGGGGGGGGGAGGAGGAGGAGGAGGAAGAAGAAGAAGAAGAGGAAGAGGAAGAAGAGAAGGAAAGGAGGACTGAGATGTCCAGTCTCCTCTCTGATAACTGGCCAGGGAGGTGTGGTACCCCACGGATGAATTAAATGATGCAATGGGAGTGTTGATTTCACACAGCTGGTCTCCAGCTCTGAAGACAACTAATGTGCGCACAGGAGGACTTCTGCCAGCACAGGATGGAAAACTCTAGTTTCGGGTAAGCACCTTAGCCTGACTTCACTCTGCCTCAGCAGCCTCTCAGTTGGAAGCTCTGATGTGAGGCCATCCTTGGGCTCCTTCTGCTGTTTTCAGAGTTATCTGCTGACAAATGAACAGGCAAAAGACCTGAGCCCCTTCACGTCATTTTTTTCAACACCCTGTGGAGCTGGAAACAATAAAATTTGTAACTTGGCTTCTGATCCCTTTTAAAATAATTACATTTATTTATTGAAGCTATTAGATGGCTTCTCTCTGTGCAATATTGTAGCAGATTACATTATCATTTATTGTGGTTACATTTATTCTTTTCCCAATAACATTTTTGTTTCTATTTTACAACAACACTCTTGCAAGGCAGGACAAGGCAGCCCCAAACCATATGTTAGTGTCAAGGCCAAAAGTGGTCCCCCTACTTTTGCCACTGTTCACACAGCTAACACGAATACTGAATTAACAATATACTAAGCCATAAATTAACCAACGGGACGGGGTTCACATAACTCTCCAAACCTCACCTCCCCCTAAGCCCCGAAGTTAGCACTATCCAAGCCTGGTCGGTTTCACAAACGCAGCCGCAAGGTCTCCATCTGACTTGGCTAATCGTGGAGCGGGAACCCAGCCTGCTCGCATAAATCACCCGGCTCACCCGGGACACCCAGCACAAGCGCGAACCAGCGGTTAAGACTCGAGCCGAGGCTGCACGGCCCCCTTCTCCTCGCCTTCCTCCAGCTGGAAATGGCATTGCCCTTTTAAGAGCCCAGGCGACGGAGACAGGGAGGGGGAGGAGGCCCCTTTCTTGGAACAGCCACGGAAAGCCGAGGAGGTGGGGGGAGAGCGCGGGGAGGGGAGGGTCTGCCTGAGCCGTCTTCGTTCTTTGGAGGCAGCCCGGAGCCATCGGCGCGGCGCCCAGCGTCCTCAGTCGGGGTGGCGTCCGCAGGCTCCTCGCTCAGTCTAGCTCGGGGGGCGCTCGACGGCGGCGCAATGGGGCTCCAGCGCTGCTGCGGGCGGCGACCCCGATCCCCAGACCACTTCCTCCTCCAGCTCCTCTAACGGCAGGTGCCGCGGCGGGGGCCTCCCCCCGAGCCATGTACGCCAAGGGCAAGGGCTCCAGCGTGCCCTCCGACGGACAAGCGCGCGAGAAGTAAGTGCTCCGCTTCCCGGCCGCCCCCGTCGCCTCCTTCTCCCCGGGGACGGGGACGCCTCGGGACCCCACCCTTCCGACCTCCCCCGCTTCCAGGCAACTCCGCTTTTCCCTGCTTAAACTTTGAAGCCGGAGTTGGGCGGGCGCGCGCGCGCCGCTCCAGCCGCGACCCCTCCCCTGAAAAGCGCGCCCTCCCTCCCTCCCTCCCTCGGATTGGGTGCCGGGGGCTCCCCTTGGCGCTAGGGAGCCTGCGGGAGGAGGGGGGGCTCGGCGCTCCCGGTGAGCCCCGTCGGGGGAAAAGTTACGGGAGGGTCTTTCGGAATTTGGGGAGGGGGTCGCCGAAAACGGAAGAGTTGCTCCGGGTAGAGGCGGAGAAGGGGGAGATCGGAGGCGTCCTCCTTCCCCCGCACACGCAGCCGTCATCCTGGGAGAGAGGTTGGAGATGCGGGGACAGCCCCGGGCACATTGCGCTTTCGCCCGACGTGCGGCAAGAGGACGCGGGATTGAAGGCACCCGGCCGGCGGCATTTGCCTGGAGACCAAGCGCAGCCCACCCGGGGTGGCTAGGTGGGGGGACTCGCGAGTGCGAAGTGGGGTGCATCTGAGTGCAGCTTCCCCTCCATCGTCCCCCCCTCCCCCGCTAGCTTCCTCCCTGCATCGTTCAGTTGTTTGCTCCAGGCACACGTGGGCGGCTGGTGTCTCTTCCTGTCTTCGGCAGACCCTTTCTTCCCCCCTCCCTCCAAATCTTCCTGCGATCGGGGGAGGACGAGCGTGACAAGTGGAGTTTACCCCCCCCCGAAATGGAACCGCCGTGTCTCTGCTTGTATGCGCTGGAATGAGGACGCTGAATACCTTGGGGGGGGGGGTTGACCTCAGTATTCCTCAGCGCTGATGTTTGCTTGCTGGAGCCGCGGAGGTTATGAAATACGTGTTGGGGGGGGGCTACTCAAGGGGGGAGAGGGGAATATACGGGAGGGGGGAAATCAGACCTCAATGGGTAGGATTAAAACATGCATACCAAAGTAATTTACAGAGGAGGGGTCCCTACAATCCAGAAGCTGGCCTTGCAGAACTGCTTCACCCCCACACACACGCTTCCGCAGAGGGCTTTCCATTCCCTGATTTTGGATTACGCAGGCATGCATAGATGAGGTTTCTGCAATCCTCTCTTCTGGTTAAGATGAGGTGTGGAACTCAAGGCCACGAGAGACACAGCAAGCTGCTCCTAGCCACTGGACATGTTAAGGGTTTTTCAAGCACAGACTTCTATTGTTATGGCCACATACAGTATGGCTCAAAGTTCTGGTCTACGCTACCTGTGAATTAGGAACATTGACGTTAAAACATCTGGAGATACCTGTTGGGAACAAGCTGGCTCAGGATATCAGAGAGCTATCCATTTTGGATTACATATTTATTTTCTTCAGTGACCATTCACAAATTCTAAGATCTATGGAACAGAAGATTCTCTTTTTATGATATCTGTTTATGGTAGACAGATGCCATAGTAGTATATAATACTACATAAATATTAACAATAAAGTCCTTGGATAATTTGCTGGAAGGCCTGCAAATCTCTTTTTGCCTCTTTCCTGGCCATTCTTCTTTGGTTTAACAGCTGTTTGGCCAAAAAACATTTGGTCAGGGAATGCTTTTTTCCCCACTGTTTCCTCTCCATGCCCTGAACAAGCTTCAGCTAATTAGTTCCTTCTTGTTGAGGTGCAGTTTAAAACTACAAGAACAGCAGCAAGAGAGAAAGTTGGCAATTGTGATGGCGGCAGCTGGGCAGGGGCTGTGGAAACATATCGCAAATGTGGGGTCTAATAAGGTAAACTCATCATATCTAGGCTGCAGAAAGCTGGATGACCACTCGATAGCAGCAAAATATAAAGAATTTTCTGTTTCTCATTTCTTATGTCCGGTGGACATCTGGATTTTTGCATCCCACATAATGGTAGAACAGGAGCTTTTAAGGAAAGCAAAAGGGCTGTTGCTCTGTAGCCAGGAAAAAAAAATGAGACTAGAGAGAGCATAGCAGCTAGTAAGACTGTGCAATACATCATATTCAGTTGTACAAAGGTGCAATGGAGCACACAGAGTCAGAAATGTAACCTCTCTCTGCTGCTCTTTAAAGCAGCCATGTCTTTTTCCCAAACTGTGGAATAGCTGCAGAGGGTGCAATCCTAGGGGGAAAAAAATCAGATTGCTTTAAATAGCTACACATAGGTGCTGTGGTTGTATTTCTGCATGCTCTGATCAGGCATCTTTCCTGAATTATTTCCACTGCACAGTTCTAGTAGCTACGCTAATCTATAAGGGTATGTGTGAAAGGAAAATACACTATTTTCAGAAGGTTTTAAAAAATATTTCCCTCTAGAAAATTCCTATAAGGTAGTCCATTCAACTTAGTTCATATAATGTGATTCCGAGAGCTGCTTTAGTGAATTCCAAGATACTACGGTATATTCTTAACTTACAACCACATCTAGGACTAGAATTTCCGTTGTCGAGCAAGGCTTTTGTTAGTGAGCTGTGCCCAGTTTTACGACTTGTTTTGCTATGTTTGTTAAATGAATCACTGCAGATAAGTGAATCACACAATCATTAAGCAAATCTGCTTCCCTCGTTGTTACTTGTCAGAGGCTGGCTGGGAAGATTGCAAATAGCAGCTACCATTGCTATTTGCTGCAACCCTGTAAATATATGTCAATTGACAAGCACCTGAAAATTGATCACATGACCCTGGGGATGCTGCGGTGGTTGTAAGTGTGAGTACAGATGGTAAGTCACTTTTTTCCAGTGCCGTTGTCTTTCTTCAAACAGTTGCTAAACAAATAGTTTAGTAAGTTGAGGACTACCTGCATTCTGTTTTGGAAGTGAATCTCCAGATATTTGGGTGCATTTAGGAGTTTGCTTTGAAGAGAATGTGAGGCAACTGGTAACATCTGAACTATGCCTTAAGCTTGTGCAAAATTGTTGTCCGAGAATTCCAGATGGTAGACCCCATTTTCCTGACCTCATGCCTTTTAAGTTATGTTGAATTTGGATTCCCATTCTGACCAAGGTTATGGGTACTAGAAGTCCAGCATTTCTGGCAAGCATCAAGTTGGGGAATTCAGTGGCCAGTTTTGCATAGACCAACTGGATAATACCCTTCCCCCTGGAATCCGGTAGACCCGCACATTTTTAGCTTCCTGAAAGCCATAAAGGGCCAAGATTTCCCCTAGGCAGAGTTGAAACCTGAGGATTGCATGGATTGGAGAGGGTGGGCCAGGGGCCTGGTTTTCTTATTTTAGGTTTTTTTTTATTATTGCCAGCAGCCCAGAATTGTGTTTTACAAGATGGATGGCCATATAAATCTTTTAAATAAATAAATTAACGCAAGTGTCCCAGGAGGGGTTAATACCACAGTGTTTAATGATTGCTAGATCATCTGCCTGTATCTAGATTTTATGGCTTTTTTTTTTTTTGCCTGGCTAAAATCATTTTCTTGGCAAAGAGAGGAATTTTGCTCAGTTGGAAGAGCACATTTTTTTTTTATCTGCAGGAATTCCAGGTCCAGTCTGTGATATCTCCAGGAATTAATATCTTAGATAGCTGCTACTGGCAAAACACGGCTTTGAAATGCTGTGCCCTCCAACTGTTTCAGGCGCCTAGTAAGTTTCCAGGTTTTGTGGTTTGAGCACAGAAAGCCCCAACTTCAGAACCATCAGTTCCATTTAAATGGTTCTTGAGTTCAATGGTTGGGAAAAAACCCTGAGCTCAAGGAGAGTCCCTGATTATTTAGATAAAGTGCAGGCAAGATGGAGCAGTGGGTTGACTACTATGTGATACTTCAGCGTCATTTATGGTGAATACTGTATTTAAAAAATATCAGATAACACCGACTTATTATAATAGAATTATTCTTTGGATTTATGTGCTGCCTTTTTGCTAGGTGCTCAAGGCAGTGCATGTGGGGTTTTCCCTAGAACCATAAACCTGTGGGGTAGGTTGGGCTGAGAGAGAGCGATTGGCCTAATGTTCCACTGTGAGCTTCCATAGGTGAAAGTGGATTAGAACATTGTATTTCTCAACGTTGTCAGCTTGAAGATCTATGGACTTCAGCTCCCGGAATTTATCAGTCATCATGCTGGCTAGGAAGTTCTGGAAGTTGAAGTCCACACAGCTGCCAAGATTGATAAACATTGTTCTTGTCAATCACTTCAACATCTGCACTACAGATCCTCTTGTATGGAGGATTCCAAGGAAAGAAGGAGATACACAAAAACCCTGTCAAATGCAGAAAGTCAGGAGTCCAGACAATTCAAATGAATATATAGATTTATTGTATGCTAAAGCCCTCTAAAAGAATCTGACAATCAAAGCAAATTGGTGGTACATAAGAGCTAATGGGATTCAAGATGGGTTGGACTTAGATCTTTTGTGGGCATGAAGGGATTCAAGACTGAGGACGTGTTTGACTCCTCCCTTGGGCTCAGCCTGGTCACGTCCTACACACCCTTTCTATGTACAGATAGTCAGAACAGTATAGTGGTCATGTTGTTCAGATAGGACAAGAGCAGGGGTCTTCAAACTTGGCCCTTTTATGACTTGTGGACTTCAACTCCCAGAATTTCTCAGTCAGCGTGTTGAAGCCCACAAGTCATAAAAGGACCAGGTTTGAAGACCTCTAGACTAAAGGAATCAATTCATGCCCAGTGTCTACCAAAGAGCTGCACTGGATAAGAGATGAGAAATTTGAAAACTTTTAAAGGTAGTTCTTAATTTATGACCACAACTGGAACAAGAACTTCAGTCGCTACTAACTGATGCAGTTGTTAATTGTGTTGTGCCTAATTTTATGACATTTTTGCCATGCTCATTAAGTGAATTTGGTTTTCCCACTGACTTGCTTGATAGAAGCCTCCTGGGAAGGTTATAAATGGTAATCACATCACCCAGAGAAGCAGCAAATGTCATAAATACATGGAAGTTATCAAGTGCCTGGATTTTGATCAT